TTTCCGTACATGTTATAGAAGTTGTTATGGTGATTGTGCCACTCATCACAGTTAAGTTTGAATCCTATAATGGTGAGATAACTCCACCTGTAGTTCTAATTAACTCTCAGTGGTGTCACTTCAAACAACTTTGCTTTGCCCAATTTTTGTTAAAATTTCTTGTTCATTCTACATCAAATGCAAGGGAGCATAACTTGTTATTTGATCACGTCTATCAGTCTCTTACCTCTGTATAGTGTTTATTTTATTTTAATTTACTGCTTAAATGATTTTGATTTTATATGTGGACTTGAAAGTTTTCAGAGTTTAGTAAAGATCAGTATTATTTCCAGTGCATAGAAGCTTCTTGTTACTAATCTGAGCCACTTTGAAATGCTCTCTTGCTTCTTTTTGTATTTCAGTGTTAACCCTTTAATCCCTAAGAGTGACTAGCATCTAATTTCTCCTTTCAGTATCATCCCTGAATCCAACATTAAGGTCATGAGAATAAAGGAAGTGATAATAAATTGAAAAACCTCTTGATTGTTAAACAAATTCCCCTTGTTAGGAAATCAGGGATTGTAAAGAGAACAGTATGGAGAATATGCATACTGATGTTAGGGTGTAAAGGGTTAAATCAGGGTCTAGAATTAACTTTTTTATATGGGTGCCAAGTGTCAATTAAACAATTGAATTCAGTCACCATTTGAAGCAAATTATTTGGTTGATACAATGTAAGACTCATTATGCTTCCTAAAAAATGTTCTCTTCAATTGCAAGAGAAAAAGTTTCAAAGACCTTGACACCTAACTGAAAACCAGTGTTAGAAGTTGAAGCAGTACATTATGGATTCATTTCTGCATTTCTGAGTGCTGGTTTACATGAAGAATACTGAGAAAACCTTAAATAGATACCTGCTAGCATTACTAAAATTAACATTCTAGTAATAAACAGTCAGTTTCAGTAGCATTGACAGTGTACAATTCAGTTTATCGTAGAAATAATGATAATTGATCCATATGTGTTTTACTTCCTTGCAGCTGAGTTCCAGAATATTTTGAATTGGGATTAAGTTCCATTCCAACAGCTGCAGGTGTTCTGATTCTTGACTGACTGAACAGCCAGAACTTACAGTGATTTTGGCACAGAACAGCTATTTTTCCAGCAGCTGGTTGAATTTTTTTTCTGTCCACCAGATTAATCACTTCCCAGTAGCTTGTTGTGAATGCAACCTGCCACACAATCTACTAGGTCAGTGGTTTATCTGGTGGATGGTATTGTTGATTCAATCCAGCAACAGCAAGTACCTGAGAGTTTAATTCAACTACTGCTACCATCTCACAGGAGAAGCAACTTGAAAAGTGAGTGTTTATCTTGTATGTATAATTGAGATTTAGATATAAATTTATGTATAAAAAAATAAAGATAAAAATAATAATAATGATAATAATAATAATAATAATAATAATGATAATAATAATAATAATAATGATAATAATAATAATAATAATAATAATGATGATGATGATACTGATGATAATAAATAGACCTTCTGCTGGCAATAGAGCTTCAGTTAAGTCTGCAACAGAGTGCATCAACTGATAACCACAACTACTTGATTTGAGCTTCATTACACAGTGCATGTACATGTGTAAGGATACATTGTACACCAGTATGATGGTTAACATTTGCAACTTTTTGTGTGATAACATCATATTCAATTTTATATGTAAACAAGAATTAGCATGACACAGCATAGTAAGGTAAGAATGTTCAGGAATATAAGTACATCACAGACAATTTACAGAGTCAAAACAAAACTAAGCTTACATGTACTTGGATTTTGTTCCACTTATTTTGAGGTGGCCAATGAAAGAGTTGCCAGTAATCAGATAGTTGTGTTCGCACAAAGATTTCTGGAATTGCCACAGGGCAAAGAAGAAATAAGTGATGAGGAACATGAGGATTAATCCCTAGGTCAAAATTTATACCTACTCATTGTTGATGAGGAAATGGTTCAGATTTAAACTGAATTTCAATGCTAATCATTCTCAACAATCACAACAAATGAACAATGTAGGTGTTTTATTAACTTTAATATATCATGATCGATAATATTATGCTCAAGTAAACCATTTCAATTTCCTGCTGACTTGATTGAGGTACAGCTGTAGCTGTTTTTGTAGCACTCTTTTGTATTACCAAGCCACTAAAAAAAAGCTATAATACTAGCATTACTACTAGTAAACAGAACTTCATTCTTTTATTTCAGAGCAATTTATGGCTGATTTTTCACAATTTTGAACCCATTAAGTGATGTCAATTTCACACTAAAACTTAAACATACATGCATGGAGCAAAGTTTACTGGTGGGTTTTAAGATAGCTTGGATGTTCTCCAGGCTTGATCTGTTTTTAATGCTTTTTATAATCTTCCATCTTCTATCTGTTTGCATAGTTTTGCTGGCCACTCACAGCTCTCACCTTCCCTTAGCTGAGGGTCCACCAGGTGTTTGGTATGATCACTGTCTGCTCCTGAGTATATGGGATATATATAGCTCATCATCTGATTTGGAGTGGTTAACTTGATTGAAAGTCCTGGCAGATTTCTTTGACACAGCTCCTTGTTAAAAATTTCACTTGTGATCTTATCTCCTCCATTACTGAGAGGGGATGTGCATATTGCAGTAACAAATAATTCTTTTTGCGACACTTGCTACATTTTTTCCAGAGGCAGGAAGTTGATGTGCATTGTTTCATGGGATTTCCACAGTCTCAGCATTGGTACCTTTTGCATTGTGTCAGATTTCTTTTTTCCATTCTGGACTGTACTTAAGGGTGTTTCTACAATTCCCTAAGTCTATGTCCTTCAGCTCAATGGTGTATAATTTCCAGCTCTGGTTCTATCAGTTGCCTCATCAAGTGTTAATGCTTTGATTCACTTTCTGACTTCACAGCTCTTTATTCCTGTTACCAATATGCAGAAGATCAGTTCATTGTTTGATACACATTAAGCAACCAGATGCCAATTTTTGTTGTCTGTTTTTGATGTCAATGTTTCTATCTTCATGGTTGACATTATTAATTAGGCAGTGCTCAAAAATGGAAACTGTTGGGTTCTGTGTGATCAGCAACTGGTAAATATTTAGCTTTTTGGTAGGTTTCCTTTCCCACAACATTGTTCTGAGGATCATTTGTTAAGCTTTTTTTCAAGTTCTCTCTTTCAACAGGGTCCAATCCTCCACCAGATTACCTTTCCGATTGATTGGAGCAGGTGTAATGACCAGCTGATTAAAGACTAGCATATGCATAGGCTGTGGGATAGTTCTTAAAACACACTATACTGTTTACTTTTCACCTAGATTAAAAGTAATTTAGGATCAGGGGCTTATTAAAGACCATCATGTGCTTGGGCTGTAGAAATGGTTGTCTCCTTTGTCACCTGTTAAAAAGGAATCAGAAAAAAGGAAGCTGGTTAGAGACCACAGTGTGCGACACACATGCTGGAATTGTGCTGCACACTATTCTGTTTCTTTTGTCACTCATGGTAAATAAATCAGTGTTGGCATGACTAGGCTTAATATAAAGTGAACAGGCCAACATTCCAAAGTACTCTAAAACTTTACATGTAACACCTTCCTGACAAATAAAATCATTTTAACTTGAATCAACCAACCAAACACATTAAAAAGTTATCACGTAGTGCTTTGATGAGAACATGTTTCAAAAAGTGTTTAATACATGTTAACTGGCTGCCTTTACAAAAAGGATGTTCAACTTAAAAAAAAATCAATTTTATGCAACTTCTGTGCATGGGGCTTGAAACAAGACTTTAGGTGGATACTCTTTATCATAAGTTTTGATCTGAGTACAGTATAAGCTTAGTTGTACAAACTGGAGATGTGTCCAGTTTTCTTTGATGTTTGCCACCAGATGTGATTATTCATATCTGCCAGGGATTTTACATCTATTTGATACAATGTCATATACAAACACATATCTAAATTTGTATTTTGGCTTTAGCACCCATTGTGACTGATTTTGTATATTTCAGTTACTATGACTCATGATTTCAGTGAAGCGGAAAAGGCAAATCGTCAAGGCTGTGTACAAGCCTATCTATTGACCGAAAAAATCTGTCCCAATTAGTTTTTTTTAACATTTGTTAAGAATGCAATTCAAGTGTGCATGTGCTTCAAGTGTCCCTGCAAGTTTTCATTGCTAGTGAATGTCTCTCTTTTTTTTTTTCCCTAAGTTGCTAATTGTATGGAAAATAATTTTTTCAAGCTTCTCGCTCGACTGCACACACGATATATAAATGGTAGGTCACCAAATCCGTTTACGTGGTGATGACAATTTTTCTTACTGGCAGAAAAAAAAAGGACAAGAAATCTTCCGTTCGCGTATTTGGGCATGCATATTTCGTATCAAATGATGCACAGTAGGGACACGTAATGCAATGGCACGAATTGGCCTCGAAACAAATTCCTCAGGAGAAGTTTCATGAGGAAAGGAAATAGCTCCATTGCTACAATAAATCTGTTGGCTCAAAACATCTGGTCTAATGATTTTTTTTCTACATTTGTTATCATGCAGGTGATTCTACTAAACATTTGCCTCGGCCAGAGTTGAAACGCCGTAAGGAAGAGTCATCTCCGAATGACGCCTTAACTCCGAAGAAAGGAAAAACTTTTTTGGCAGATAAAGTGAGGGTATATCTTCCCGCCCCCTGTCTTTGTGAAATAAAAATGTGTGGATCCAGCAAAATGGCATGAATAGTTGCAATACGTACAACTCGCTATCCCCTCATCTTGATGCTTTGCTGTGATGTCTTTATTGTTGTTGTCAAGCAAGGAGTTCTCAGTGACAAAAATTTAGAGTGGCTTTACCCAAGCTGCTTATTGTATGGAAAATATATTTTTAAAGCTTTTCGCTCGATTGCAAAGTAGAGATATAAATGGTATGTCACCAAATCCGTTTACGTGGCGATGACAGTTTTTTTTTTATTAGCTGCAAAAAAAGAACAAGAAATCCTCTGTTCTCGTATGTGGGTGTGGATTTTTTTGTGTCAAATGATGCACAGTAGCGTTGCATAATGCAATGGCACGAATTTGCCTCGAAACAAATTCATCAGAAGACGTTTTATTGGAAAAGGAAAAAGCTCCATTCCTACAATAAATCTGTCGGCTCAAATAATATTTTCTTGTCTAATTAATTTTTTGCATTTGTTATCATGCAGGTGGTTCTACTAAGTATTTTCCTCGGCCAAAGATGAAACGCTGTCATGAAGAGTCCTCTCCGAGTGACGCCTCAACTCCAAAGGAAAGAGGTAAAATGAGGACATATCTATGGGCGTGCCTGTTAGCCCCCACCCCCCAACCCAATCTTCTTTCCCCCTGCCTTTGTAAAATAAAAATGCGTCGATCCAGCAAAATGGTATGAATAGTTGCGATGCGTACAACTCGCTATTCCCTCATCTTGATGCTTTGTTGTAATGTCTTTATTTTTGTAGTCAAGCAAGTTCCCAGTGACGAAGATTTAGAGTGGCTTTCGCAGAAACTCGATGAATGGAAGAGAGTCGGGCGTCGTCTTAAAATTGAGGAGGCAAGGTTAACGGCGTTTGACAATGAAAATAAGGAATGGTCTGAAAAAATCTACAAAATGTTTTTACATTGGAAAGAGAGGGATGGCTCAGCCGCAACATACACGGTCCTACATGATGCATTGTGTCATCCATTCGTGAATCGCACAAATTTAGCTGAGCAACTTATCACTGGTAATATATCACCAATCTTGCAATTCAATTAAAATATAATTACATACAAGCATAGTGCCTAAATTCGTAGACACCATGCTTTTTGGCCTCTGTATCTTGTGTTCGTTGTTGACAGTGCCTCGAAACTGGAAAAGAGTCGCTTCATTTGTCGGTGACCAAATCAAAGAGAAGGAAGATCATTTGATGCCTTTGTATATTTTCATATAGTTTTCTGGTAGCGCAAAATTCACTCACTTCTTAACTGCCAACTGTCACGATTCTGTGAACTCAAAAGGGTTGTTTATTGTGCGAACTCCACTGCTGCCACGTGTGTGTTCGTTGTCTCCTAAGTCTTCTAAATATATCGGCCCAGTGACGTGACCGTGTAACGCAATATCACGACATCTTCCCCTTTTTACAAAGTTTATCTTCAAAAGTTAATTAATACTTAATGTTCGGTTTCGATCACTGTTCAAATCACATAAAATCGATAAAACATTGTTCTTCATTGAAATCATAAAAAGATAGAAACAGAACCCAACAACTATTTAGCGGCTCAATCATTCAATGTTCAGTTCATATGGTAATCCTGATGCCACAAAGGCGGTCGACGTCTGCGTTCTGATCGACGAGTTTCAATCCTTTGTGGCTCAAGCTCAGTTCCCATCTCATTTTCAGGTGGCATTCTCTCTGTTTTGGTCTCGCCATGGAACTCCGGTGGAGGAGGTCCTGGCTCTGTCAGATTTGGCGCCGGTTTGAGGGTAGACTCGGGCGGAGTTAGTTCTAGCAGACTCATAGGTGGTGCTGTTTCCGGGGTCAGGCGCAGTTGCCGACGGTTGCGTCGGTATCGCCTGCCGCAAACTTCAACTTCATAAGACCTGTTCCCCAAGGCTTTCATGCATGTCCCCAGACTCCATTCCTCCCTTCCGGGAAGCCGCATCCTGATGGCCTGTCCACACTTTAGTGCCTCTAAAGGGCGAAACTTTTTGTTGTATTGTTGAGCTTGTCTTTTCTTGCGCTTAGCTAATTTGGTGGCTGTTTCCTGGTGTGATGGCTGCCGCAGGAGCGTTTCATGGGTTGGTAAGAAAGTGCGTGTGCGGCGTCCCATCAGTCTCTGTACGGGTGATGTTCCTAGACCCTCTGTTGGGGTGTTGCGCCAATCAAGAAGGGCTAACAGCGGGTCTTGCCCATCCGCTTTCGCTTTCGTCATCAAGTTCTTGCAAGTCTTCACGGCATTCTCGGCGCGGCCATTTGACTGGGGGTAACGGGGGCTCGAAGTTCTATGTTCAAACTGCCATTCTCTCACGAATGCACTGAACACCGATGACGTAAACTGAGGTCCGTTGTCGGTAATAAGCACGTCTGGTATCCCATGGCGGGCGAATTGTACTTTACACGCAGCTATCACGCTAGCAGATGTGGCCACCTTAACCTCCTGGACTTCAAAGAACCCACTCCAGTAGTCGACTAGGACCAAGAAATGTTGTTGCCCAAGGTCAAAAAAATCGGCACCTAGCATCGACCAGGGACGCGACGGGATCGGATACGGTTGCAATTCCTCGCGGCACTGATCTGGCTGGTACGACTGGCAGATTGAGCATTTGGAAACAAAGTCCTTTACTTCCGAATTCATGAGGGGCCAATAGAGGACCTCCCTAGCGCGACGTAAACACCCTTCGATTCCAATATGTGATCGGTGAATTTGCTTCAACATTTCTTTTCTCAGGGAAGGGGGTACCAGCAATCGCTCCCCCAGGAATACTAGTCCCTTGTCTTCTATAAGCTCACTTCGTTTGTCATAGTAAGGCGTCAGCTCAGGGGTACAGGACTTCCTTGACACTGGCCATTCACCCTTGATTGCTCCGATTAGCTTTTGCATCACTGGGTCCCTGGCAATCTCGTTTCTGAATTCAGCGAGCCTGTATGGTGCAATCGAGAGGTTTTCTGAATGATCTATCTCGGCAAGTGTACAGATCAGACTTGTATCGTGCTTGGAGGCTTCGGTGGTGTTGCGGTATGCTCGACTCAGTGCATCTGATACCCACATAAGTTCCCCTTTTTATACTGCACATCCAGGGAGTAATTCTGAAGAGCCATCAGCATTCTCTGGAGTCTCTTTGGTGAGTTGTGTATTGGCTTGGTAAAAACTGCCCTTAGTGGTTCGTGGTCAGACTCGATGTGTACAACTTCGCGTCCCAGTATGTATTGATTGAACTTGTCGGTTGACCACACTATGGCGAGGAGCTCTTTCTCGATTTGAGCGTAACGCGTTTCGGTGTCTGTCAGAGCTCGCGAGGCAAAGGCAACGGGCTGACCCTTTTGCATCAGTACTGCACCTAGACCCGTTATGCTGGCATCGCATTGGATTGTCACTTCTTCAGTAACATCATAGTATTTCAGTACCGGGGCCTTGGCCAAGTATTCTTTGACTGTGGTAAATGCTTTCTCATGCTGTGCAAGCCAACACCACTCGACGTCCTTGTCCTCAAGCCTTCGCAAAGGTTCTGTCATGTCGGACAGGAGTGGCAAGAATTTGGCCAGATAATTGACCATCCCCAAAAACCTCTTCAGGCCTTTCACATCAGTCGGCGGTGGCATATCCAAAATAGCTTCAACTTTGGCTGGGTCTGCCTTTAGACCATCAGGAGTCAAGAGGTGGCCCATGAAACGCACTTCGGTTTGAGATCTTTTCAGCTTGAGTTTGTTGAGCTTGAGGTTCCACTCCCGGCATTTCTTGAAGAACGCACGTTCGTTCTTTTCAAGGCTCGAGTTGACCTCTGCGTCAGTTTCGCCAAATCCAGCGATGAGGAAGTCGTCAGCGATAACTTCAACTCCTTCTAAATTTTCTACGAATTCATGCATGCGTCGCTGCCAAACTTCAGGCGCACTTGAGATACCAAAAGGCATGCGGGCCCATCTATAACGCCCAAAAGGCGTATTGAACGTTGTCAGGAAACTAGAAGCATCGTCTAAGAGGATTTGGTGGAAACCATCCTTGGCGTCACAAAGAGTAAATTTCTTGGCACCTGTTAAGCGGGAGGCCACTTCATCGATAGTCGGCAACTGGTAATGCTCTCGCCGAATGGCACGATTTAAATCTCTCGGGTCAATACAGATGCGTACTTTGTTTGGCTTCACTATGGCCAACATGCTGGATACCCACTGCGTCGGTTCTGTTACTGGAATAATAACTTTACGATCAACAAGTTCGTCCAGCTTGTTTTTGATGCATGGACGCAAGGCTACTGGCACTCGCCTCGGTGCGTGGACAACTGGTTGCGCCTGTTCGTCTATGGCTATTTTGTATGTTCCCGGTAGGGCCCCTAATCCGTCGAATACGTCCTCATACTCTTCGAGCAAGGAGGCTTTGGGACACTTGACGTGTAATGCTAGGACGTCACAATTATGCAAACTCACAAAGCCAAGATTGAGGCTGGTGTTCAATGATAAAATCGGTTGATAGTCTCCGTCTAAGATGTTAAACTCCATTGACCTCCGCTGTCCACGGGACCACACAGGCAGGGTAGCTTTACCAGCAATTTTGCGGCGATCCCCTGTGTACGAGACTATTTCCTTTTGGCATGGTTTGAGGCGATGAAGGAGGGTGTCCCCAGTGATTTGCTTGTATAATTGGGCCGGGAGAATGTCGCACTGCGACCCAGTATCTATTTGAAACTGGACTTCTGTCTTGGGATCTGGCCCATAAATGTGGAGTTTGACCACTGCCAATTTTTCCTGGCCTTTGCTCTTACTAGTAGTAGCACCAATGTAGTAGGGGTCGTTTCCCATGTCGACGGCTTCGTGGACCGCCGAAACTCTACTTTTCACTCCTCGGGGATTAGCGCGACATTTATTCGCAAAATGATTCATACTCCCACAGTTAAAACATGTTCTTCCATACGCGGGACAATGACGTCCATGCACCATTCCGCAATTTCCACATTCTTTAGACGGTCTTCTAAATGCTTGTGACTTAAGTTGTCGTTCTTCTTCAGGTTTTTCTGCCGATCCCGCCTTCCGTAACGCATGAACTGCAGTGTCTCCTCCAGCCATTAGCTTTACTTGCTGTTGGGTCTGTTCTGACGACTTAATAATGTCAACTGCTTGTAGGAGAGATAAATCATTCAAACGGAGTAGTCTCTCGCGGACGCGATCATCCCGTATGCCTAGCACGAGGCGGTCACGCAACATTTCATCTGGTGTGATTGTATCGTGTGCACAGTTTTTTGCGATCGTTCGAAGCTCCGTAAGATACGTCGAGATGTTTTCGCCTGGTTCCTGGTTTCGGTTGTTGAACCTGTAGCGTTCATATATGACCTGTGTCCTAGGAATGCAGAATTCGTCGAACTTCTTCAGGACTTGTGAAATGTCGTCTGCGTTTTCGTCTTCGTTCCAAATAAAGGTATCGTGGGCTCTGACGCCATCCTCGCCTATAATGCTTAGTAATGTCGACACACGAACTATGCCCTCTTGTTTATATACACCAGTAGCGATTTCGTAGCGCTGCCACGCTGCTTTCCACGATTTCCATGCGGTGGCTAAATTGTCGTCAAAATTAAGCGCTTTCGGCGGGGGCAAATTTGACGGGGGAATAAAAACTTGAGTCGGCGCTGGTGGCACAACTATGGATGCTTCAGCTGCTTCTGTCATCTTTAGGGGTGAACAGATCCCACTTCTGACACCATGTCACGATTCTGTGAACTCAAAAGGGTTGTTTATTGTGCGAACTCCACTGCCGCCACGTGTGTGTTCGTTGTCTCCTAAGTCTTCTAAATATATCGGCCCAGTGACGTGACCGTGTAACGCAATATCACGACACCAACCGTAAGCGTAAGGTTGCCAGTATTTCCTCCTGCTTTTTTGGCTTTGGTATCCATTGATCGTAAGAAACGAACTGGTGAGTTTTGTTTCTTCAGATAAATTTTCCGATGAATACCTAAGTCAATATCAGTTTGCTGACAAGCAACTTGCCCACCCACAAGAATGCAAAGTTACAGGAAATACCGTTGCAAACTTCCCATTTAACGACTCTGTGCCAGTCAACCCCCACCCCCAACCCCATCTTCCTTCGCCCTGCCTTTGTAAAATAAAAATGCGTGGATCCGGCAAAATGGTATGAATAGATGCATTACGTACTACTCGCTATCGTCTCATCTTGATGCTTTGCTGTGATGTCTTAGTGTTTGTAGTCAAGCAAGGGGTTCCCAGTGACGGAGATTTAGAGTGGCTTTACCCAAGCTGCTTATTGTATGGAAAATATTTTTTAAGAGTTTTTCGCTCGATTGCAAACTGGAGATATAAATGGTTTGTCACCAAATCCGTTTACTTGGCGATGGCAATTTTTCTTACTGGTTGGGAAAAAAGAAAACAAGACATTTTCTGTTCGCGTATGTGGATGTGCATTTTTCGTGCCAAATGATGCACAGTAGGGATGCATAATGCAGTGGCACAAATTGGCCTTGAAACAAATTCACCAAAAACATTTCATTAGGAAAGGAATAAGTTCCATTGCCACTTATCAGTTGTTCCATTGCCCATCAGTTGGCTCAAATAATATGTTGTGTTCTAATTATTTTTTTACATTTGTTATCATGCAGGTGGTTCTACTAAACATTTGCCTCGGCCAAAGGTGAAACGCCGTGATGAAGAGTCGTCTGTGAATGACGCCTCAACCCCAAAGAAAAGAGGTAAAATGAGGACATATCTATGGGCGTGCCCGTCAATCCCCACCCCCCAACCCCATTATCCTTCCCCCTGCCTCTATAAAATATAATTGCGTGGATCCAGCAAAGTGGCATGAATAGTTGCGAAATTTTTAGAGCTTTTCGCTCGATTACAAACGAGAGATAAAAATAGCATTCGAAATTGTGGAAGCAAGATTAAAGGCGTTTGACAATGAAAATAGGGAATAGTCTAAAAAAATCTTCAAAAGGTTATTACACTGGAAAGAGAGGAAAGGCTCAGCTGCAACATACTCATAAGACACCTAGAATCTCCCGCCTTACCCCTTCCCTCATTTTAACCAAACCCCCATTTTATAAACCACACACAACCCAATCGGTCCAACGAAGGGCTAACGCTCGAACTATCAGCTTTTGAAGCTCGTAGTTACTACAATATTTGAGATTTTCCTTGATGTTTGTCTTAATAATAAGAATAAACAAATATATTCAGAACAAATCAGTATATATTTTGTTAAAAATTGTGTGTAGTGTAACAAACAACTGCCTCGATTACCAGCCGCTGTTCGAGAAATGAGCCCGCGCTTCTCCCAATTTTCGAGGGAGGATCGAAGACTGTACACGAGAATTAGGCGCAAATCGAACCCCCCCCCCCCCCAAACAAAAAACACCGTAGTGACGACACAGTGAAAATGTGAATATTTACCTTCGGAATTAAAGGGTGACGTTGTCAAAGTTACCAATTACAGTTGGCGAGAAATATTCTCCTCACTGTTTAAAAACCTTGCTCGAGTAATGTTCTTTTCGATGTAGGAGATAGACAATTTTTAACAAGCTATTTGTTTTTTGTCTACAGATTCATCTGTAACCGAATTTTTGGAATGGTGCCAGAAACAGTTGAGGACGTTTTATACTGACACCATGTGTCAAGTGAAAATAACACCGTGGGACCCAGACAACACGGTACACATTGATGGCTTTTACATAGAGTCAACGTGTTTACGAGACGACAGAAAACCTGACGGGACAACGAAAGAAAAGCTGGGTGACAGCAGTGAAGTATTTGAAGGTGACGAACATCATCCCAATCGTAGACGAATTCTAGTGTATGGAAGACCTGGAATAGGAAAGTCTGCTTTCGCTCAAAAAGTAGCTGTGGATTGGGCAAATGGCAAAAAGGAGATCCTCAAAAAGTTTACTCTTTTACTGTTAATCAGGTTGCGAGACGTTTGTGATAGTCCGGACCTCTGTACCATGTTGAAAACTACTGAACTGTTGTCTGCTGATAACCCGATGGCAGTCAATAACTTGTGTGAATATGTCCGTCAGAACCAAGAGAAAGTGCTGCTCATTTTGGATGGATATGATGAGTACAGCAGTGGAAAATCGTCCCTAATTCATCAGATTTGGAGAGGCAGTCAACTGAGAGACTGTTGTGTAATGATCACAACGCGGCGATTGAAGGAGGATGAACTAAGAGTGCCAAGTAATGTTCAGTTTGAACTTAACGGGTTCGATAGCCGGGAACAGAAGGAACAGTTTGCTAGTAAGATTCTTCCTGATAAGAAAGATGTTGAAGGGCTACTTGAATACCTGGAGGAGCATGACCTCAAGGAGATGGCAGAGATTCCACTATTATTGTTGATGTTGTGTCTTCTCTGGAAAGAGAAAAAGCATCAATCACCAACATCTCGTGCGGAAATTTACGTAGGATTTATTCAGACTCTCTTGAATCATATGGCTACTAAAGACTCGGACGACATCGCAACAGATGAAAGCATAGATAAATATCAAGAGGAACTTTCCAAAATAGGAAAACTTGCCTTTGATGCTCTTTTGGAGGACTGCCTTCATTTTGACTTCACCAAATTTCCGCATGGTGATCTCTTCGAGAAGCTTATTCATGTCGGTTTTTTCCAAGTTTCCAAACTTTCTGCTTGGAACCGTGAGAAGATCGTGTATTTTCTTCACAAGTCCGTTCAGGAGTTTCTCGCCGCCTGGTTCATCGTTCAAGAAGTGAAGGTTAAGAAGAATGAAACCGTCACCTTCTTGTCGGGAATGGATACGTTTGAAAAATCAATGAAGATGGCTGAAGTTCTAAAATTCGTTTGTGAGTTGTCATCAGATGCTGTCGGCATTGTTTTTGATCATCTACATTATATCGCAGAGAAAGAAGGTCTCACAAATTACAATTTCACTAGGACGCTTTCATACGAAGATTTGTCTGAGGAACAATTCGCCTTTATTGAACTCTGTGTCGATTGTTTGTTCTGTTGTCCGGCCTCAAACAGACCAGCTGTGTATTCTGCATTTCTCTCATGTGTTAACCATGTTGTAATACTTGATGAGGAACACTCGTCTACTGCTGCCAAAACGCACTTCTTCAAAGACACCGACAGCTTTCCGAACTATTTATTTTACTCAGGTTGGAACACTAATGATGATAATCTTCTGTCCATATGGTTTGACTTGAACGCGGTCGTTTTAACGTGCTCTGGAGAAATTGAAGATGTAAAAAAATACGCCGATTTACGCGAGGAGGCGGACTTTTTCCTCAAAAAAAGCGAAAAGAGAAACTTTATCTATCTTCGTCGCATAACAGGTGCTGTATTTCACTCTAAACTGCTTTCTGAATTGATCTCAGCGCCGGTTTGTCCTTCTCAGCCACCTGTGGATAATCTGGGAAAGAATGAAGACAACAACATTGCGCTTTCTTTGACTGAGAACAGATCTGACCAGACACGACAACATTGTGTGTCACTGGTGGAAAACGTTAATTTAGTCTTGGAAACAGTTGAGGATTTTGTTCTGTTGAAGAACTTGTTGCCTTTATTAACAGCTCCCCGAAATATTACAATTTGGGAGTGCGGGACAGATGCCTTGGAAGGTATTTCGATTGAGAGCGCGATTTATGGAATTAATTTTACTGACAATCTCCACAAATTAGAACTTCGCAATTTCAATCTAACAGGAAAGTGTGCTGCTTTTATTGCTGAGTCACTGCACCACTCTCCAAACTTGGATGAGCTCTGCTTGTCAAGGAACCCCTTACACAGCGGTGTGAGTCATTTGGCTGAGAATCTTCATCACGTGCCACAGTTGACTGAGTTAGAGTTAGTTGAAGTACAAATGGGAGAAAAGGAATGTGCTGCATTGGCTTCCTCACTACAGTACTTAAACAAGTTAGAAAGACTGGATATGTCAAACAATGCACTGGGTCACGGGATTATTGAACTGGCCAGGAACCTGAACAGTGTACCCAATCTGACTTGGCTGAGACTATCGGATACAAATATAGGTGAAGATGAAGCATCAGCACTGGCTTGTGCACTAAAGGATGTACCAGAGCTGAGCATTCTTAGTCTAGGGTCCAATCCACTGGGCAGAGGAGTCATGAACCTGGTCCAGCATCTCTGCAGTGTTCCTAAGCCGAAGGAGGACCTATCCTCGTGCCTGGATGGTGTTCAAATGACAAAGTTGACTGACTTAGCGTTACAGGATGTAAAAATGGGAGAAAAGGAATGTGCTGCACTGGCTGCCTCATTACAGTACTTAAAGAAGTTAAAAGAACTGGATATGTCAAACAATGTACTGGGTCACGGGATTATTGAACTGGCCAAGAACCTGAACAGTGTACCTACTCTGACCACACTGTACCTGAGGAACACAAATATGGGTGAAGATGAAGCATCAGCACTGGCTCGTGCACTGAAGGATGCACCAGAGCTGAGATCTCTTAGATTAGGGTCCAATCCACTTGGCAGAGGAGTCAGGTACCTGGTCCAGCACCTCAGCAGCGTTCCTAAACTGAATTTCCTGTATCTGGATGATGTTCCGATGACAAAGACAGAGCTTAAAATGCTGTTTTCAGCCTTAAATGGAAGAGAAATTACATTGTATACCGATTACCATGTAAGTGTCTCGTTCTTGTTTCACTTAGTCGTATCTAATTTTTATTTTGGTTCTCTTCAGATTACACTTGTTATTGTTTCCAGCAAGTTGCTTTGGAGACAATTTATTGGAGTAGTCTGCATGGGAAAGAATGTAGACATCAGGAACAGTCACTGTTTTCGACATTTACTATTTCTATGTTGTGACAACAGGAGCCATTGTTGGGGATGGCGGAGACCGTAAACAGCCCATGTTAAGTACTTTAATGGTTCATGTATTGCTTCTTTGACTATGGTTTCCAGAAAAATATGTTTAAGATTAAATTAAGACAGAAACAAATTTAGCTTTGAAAACTTTGATATTATTTATTTACAGACAGTAGTTTCCAGTGTAGTGGATGCTTGATTACTGAAACTTCATTGAAAACTTTGGTAGTTCGATTCCTTCGAGTTCATTCGATTGGCCCTTCGGTTTTGGCGAAATCTTGTAGAGAAATCTTTTGTAGCTATGCCTTACATAAGAGAGAGAAAAAAAGATGAATTGTGAGAATTTTTCTCGGACCAAACTTCTTTGCGCAATGTTAATTTTTGAAATTTTTTGGCTTGTGTTGTTATTATGGGATGCTTTCTTTTGGGTTTGATTATGTGACGTGAAATTACTGTTAACCTATACATGCTTTGGATTCGATGACGTTGTTCCCTACAATCTGTACCAGCATCTATTCGCTTTTATTAACAGGAAGCGTTTACCCAACAAAATAGAAAGAACCAAACAAAAAAGGTTTTTTCTTGTGTTAAATCCAAATGCGTGTTTTGAAAAGCGAAAATCATGTTGATTCTATTGTCATAAATTTACGTTTTAAAGGTTTGTACTGATGATAGGAAATAATTCACCAAAAGTTGTAGGTTAAAATATTAACATCCAAAAAGAAACTGACACGGTGCTATAATTTACTTGCACTTAAATGGTTTCATTATTCTTATTTATCAGTTAGATTCTTTTTGTCTTTAGCTGCACTGCTCATGTTGAGTAACTCCGTCAGATGCTCGTAGGGCCCTCGGTCGCCTTTGTCATAGAAGCCTATTTTTTTTTCTTTTAAGAAAAATTAAAGAAAAACATTGTAAATAGCGAATTTGTTAAAATGACCATTTCAAACCTTACACTCTAAAACCTTTTTGGTGTGTTAAACGAAAATATAACATAGAATAAAGAGCAAAGTACTCCGGGGTTGGTAATAAGGCAAAAAGAGATAATAGCGAGAAGGAATTGGAAAAGAAGACAGGCGGGCACAAAATTCAATGGATAAATATATATATATATATATATATATATATATATTTTTTTTTTTTTGGAGGGGGGGGTGGGGAAATGAGGAAAAAAATCAAGAAAGTGTTTCACATGGGTCACCTCTGATAAGCGCTTCGGCTCGATGTTCCCATTCTGTATCCAAAATAAGACCAATATTACCACGTCCTAAACAAAATAAAGCGCTTGCACTAGTCGTGAGAAGAAGCCTTTTGGAGGCGAAGTTTCCATTAACATCTCATTCAGCTGAAAGATCTGGGAAAGACGTTATGTTATGGAACCTGTGAAATTAGCGCTTGAAGAATGAAGCATTACTGTGCGTCAGGCGAAAGCGCCCTGCTAGAAAACAAACGAAAAATCAAAAGAAATCATTTTAAAAGCGTAAACTTCATAGGCGCGACCCGTGACACGCGGCTACTAGTCAAACTCGGCACTGCGCTATAATTTACTCGCTCTTAAATGGTTTCCTTATTCTTATTTATCAGTTGGATTCTTTTTTAAGTGTCTCGTATATGATTCAAATGGTTTTGTCAGAAAAGTATGGTTACATTGAGAGGAGAGTTCTTTACTTTTGGGAAAGTCAAGGAAAACATTACATCGAGGACTCCGGGTCATCAAAAAGAAATATTTAGGGTTGTCTGTCTTTCAATCGTATAACAATTATGTTGGTTGAGAGGTGAACTGGAGTAAAACCTGTTGCGTGTAGTCGTGCAAGGTTGGAAAATTGTTAAATCGTTGATTTACTCTCGGGAAGACAATAACTTAGCTAATACTTTGTTTGTGGAAAATTAATAATTTCGAAGGTATTAGACAGTTTTCCTCCCCCTAAAAAAGTTAGTATTTATTGTAATTTATGTGTTTGTTTGTAAACCTTCACCTCATCTTAATCGTCAGGGAGCATTGTTTTTTGTTATTTGTAACTGAGATCGTTTTCTTCGTTGTAAAATGATCTTAGTCACTTGTAGCTATTTGAATTCAAAAGTGAATGTCCTCTTTTACTGCTCGCTATATGGACTAATATCTTTGATTGCGAGAAATATTTATCTTGCGTGTTAAAATGTAAGTTGAGTGTTACATAGAAATTAATGAAACAGGTGTATTTTGCCATAGCGAAGGAAACGTAATATTCCGATATACGTGGGGAGAATCAAGATCCTTTAGATATTTATCTGGTGTAAAAATGCCAGTTGAGAGTTTCACATAGTTGGTGCTGTGGTTGATGTTGTGTCCTTTTTTTGTCCTGTGATAGGAAGTTGAAAGGAAAGATGGAGAGTGGATCAATCGACTTCTTACAGAAGCTGAGCTGAAAAAAGAAGGAATAAGGTTCAGAAAAGAGCCAGATGATGATGACGATGACGATGATGATGATGGTGATGATGATGATGATGATGACGAAAGTGAGGATGATGACGATGATGACGATGACGATGATGATAATGACGAAGATGAAGATAGTGAGCATCTCGATGATGATGATGATGAGGATGATGGCGATGATGAAGTTAGTGACGATCTCGATGATGATGATGATGATGAAAATGAGTAAGCGCTCAGAAAAAACGTTTCTGTGGCAACTGATTTAGCGAGAAGTGAGAAGATTAATATTTCAGAATATAATCCATCAAATATTTTTGCTTGCGCGCGCGGGATTGGTCTAAATGCATCACGTAACCGAATATACATCAGCTAAAACTGGAGAATATCCGTGAATATACCCTAAGTAATATTCCTCAATTTTCAAACCTTAACGTCCACAACAAAAGTAGTCTTCGTTTTAAATTTAATTCAAGATTATTATCTGTTGCTCTAAGCTCTCACTTTTCCTCGAGCTTCACTCTCGGAAACTGTTCGCATCTCGGAACAGATCAAGTCCGAACAGCAACAAAAACAAAAACCACCATGAGTGTTACATAGAAATTAATGAAACAGGTGTATTTTGCCGTAACGAAGGAAACGTAATATTCCGATATACGTGGGGAGAATCAAGATCCTTTAGATATTTATCTGGTGTGAAAATGCCAGTTGAGAGTTTCACATAATTGGTGCTGTGGTTGATGTTGAGTCCTTTTTTTGTCCTGTGATAGGCAATTGGAATAGTAGATGAAAGGGTGATCAATCGACTTAGTACAAAAGCTGAGCTGAAAAAAAAAGGAACGAGGTTCAGAAAAGAGCCAGATGATGATGATGATGATGATGATGATGATGATGATGATGATGATGACGATGACGACGACGATGATGATGATGACGAAAGTGAGGATGATGACCATGACGATGACGAAGATGAAGATAGTGAGCATCTCGTTGATGAGGATGATGGCGGTGATGAAGATTGTGACAATCTCGATGATGATGATGAAAATGAGTAAGCGCTCTGAAAAAAGGTTTCTGTGGCAACTGATTTAGCGAGCAGTAAAAAGATTGATATTTCAGAATATAATCCATCAAATATTTTTGCTTGCGCGCGCGGGATTGGTCTAAGTGCGTCACGGACCGAATATACATCAGCTAAAACTGGAGAATATCCGTGAATATACCCTAAGTAATATTCCCCAATTTTCAAACCTTAACGTCCACTACAATAGAAGTCTTCGTTTCAAACTTAATTCAAGATTAGAGGGCGTTTGGTGTTCTTACAGAAGAAAGGACATGTTTTGTGTTCATACAGCTGTACCAGCGAACACTGAAAAGTGAACATCCTACGTAATAAACGGTGAACTGGTCGTAAACACTTTCCCCGCGCGTTGCAAAAGTAATTGAAGAAAGAAAAACACAATAGCCTCTATTTTGCGCAAAAATATTCTCGTATAGTTGTCCTTAAACATTATCTGTTTCTCTAAGCTCTCACTTTTCCTCGAGCGTCACTCTCGGAAACTGTTCGCATCTCGGAACAGATAATGTCCTAACAGCAACAAAAACAAAAACCATCGTGCATGTATTTGCGCCAAATAAAGACTATTGTTTATTTAGAATTTCGGAAATTGCTGGACGTATTTCCCGTCTCTTACGGCGCTATATCTTTATTTCAGCATAACGTATTGGAGTAGCGTCCAGTTCGAATTGGAAACTTAGATAATTTTCCGACGGTATTTCCCTTCTCAGATCACGAAAATTTTGGTGATTTCACGTTGTTGTTTTGCAGTGGACGGCTTAGAAATGAACAGAGTTTTAAAACGCACGCGCTGAGCTAATGTTCTGCCCATTATTCAGACTTTTTGTTTTGCCACATCCTCATTGCCGTTGTCGTGGTTTCCTGAAGTTCCCAAGTTTTTAGTCCCGCGTGAAACGTCTTATATTGTAACCGGAAATGCAAGTTCTTTTCAGCATTAAAGTACCGTGTTGTTACCCAGTTTTTTTGCCGATCAGAACGCGAAACGAATTTCTTAGGATATCAGAGTGAAATAGTTTAGCATACATCCCAAAAGTGACTTTTTTACGCGAAGAAAGATAGGACCCTCTATTTGTCTGTGCCAGTCTCCTTTTATGGAGACGGCCAAAAAAGGGGTAAGCTGAGACATTGGAGGTCTCGGGAAGAGTGAGAGTAGCTTCCTTTCCTGCCCAAACCCCAATTTTCACTCTCCCAATAATTCGAACTTTTCAACCAACTGAGACCCTGGCAGAAGACAAGCTCAAGTTTTTCAAGTTAATTGATTCAAATTACGCAACTCAATTAATTCAAACTTATTAATTCAATTAATACTATTGATTCTAATTAGCTGACAAGCTCATTTTGTCCTCACAAAAAAAGCCGACTTTGAGAAAAGGAACAGATGAATGATTCCTTGAGCTTGGATCAGTTCACAGGCAGCATTGTGCTTTCAAGTAGGCTTATTTTGTGATGCTTTACATTGATGATGCTTGAAACTGGAGATGTATGGAAAATCTTTCGTGATCAGAAAAGTTTAAGTCGATATTTGGTGTTACAAACTTTAAAAATGCTTGTTCGTCTCACTTGTCACTGTAAATAGCAATTTAGTACGTCAATTTTTACCCAACGTTGTCACTTTTTTTACCCTCACTTTATTGATTTATTAAAAGAATTTTTATGAAATATCTTTGTCTCTTTGTAATTAAAGTACAGATCGCATAAGTGCTTGAAAAAGACCCTGTATACGACCTGTATCCTTGTTGCCTGGACCCCAAAGCACATTCATTTAAATATTTTTTCACAGCTGAACGCACCACGCACAGAATGATATTTTTGCGCAGAATTTTTTATTACAAAGACTAGTATGTAGTCTTTAGTTCGATATAGGCAGCCCCTGGATGAGAGGAAAAACTTGTAAATTTTCATGGTTTTGATTTGCTTTTTCTTTTTTTTTTTTTGGATAATTTATCGTAGAATCTGTCGGCCTGACTTGTGTAACAATAACGGCTTTTGTGTCCCACCGACCGACCGTTTTCAATATTGTTTTTGATTTTTTGTTTGCATGTTTGTTTTTTTTCCTATAACCACTTGTTTATTTCCACAAGCCGCCCGTCGTTCCTTAAGTTGTTCTACTCTGTTTCACTCGATCAGCAGGCATTAAAAGCTTGGCATCTAAGCATCCTCTTCTTTTTACTGTTGTGATTTAGTTCTATCAAGTGTTAAACCTGGCGACGAGAAAAACTCAAAAGGCGGAAAAAGGCCGAAATCCTTGCAAGCAGTCTCCTTTTTTGTCGTTTGCCCCCTTCCTCCCCCACTTCTCTTCCGCTAGAGCACACCAAAACAAGCTTGATATCCCAACCTTTATCATATTTCTTGTACACAGAGCCTACGATGGTTAGCTTTCGGGCTTAACTCCTCGAAAAGGGGATTTTGTGTGCGCCAGCTATTAAATAATCAGAACACCCGATTGGTTTCTTTTTTCAAATTCTTTTATTTCAGATCACATTCAAGTTGTTTTGCAGCCTAATATATCACAGACAATACACGATTTTCACTTTATATATAAAATTAACATCATATCCATCGGCAGAAAACGTGTTACATAACTTTAAGGTGGTTAACTCGTTGCAAAGTATGGTTAACTGTAAGCTGATACAATGCAACCGGTTAAAAATTGGACCAGTGTTCATGATAAGGGATAACTTTAGAGGCTTTACATAACGCTACACTTTGATAAGGTGCTAGCGACCCCGCCTAAGACTGGTATCATTTGCAGCGCTCTATCAAACTTACTGTTGTCGGCTCTGATTGAGTAGCAGCTGTTGTCTCAAGCTCTCCACTGTCTTCTCCATGCCTTCATTTGATTTTTGCATTTGTGCAAGTCGTTGACTGAGTACCTGCTTTTCTTGCATGAAATTTCGTCTGTGTTTTTTATCTTCCATCATTCTCGCCTTTACCATGTTCTCCATTTGTTGTCGTTGGACCGCTGCTTCAGCTTCCATCTGTTCACGAAGTTTCTTTTTTTCTTCCTCCTGTTTTGCCTGCAGCTTTTTTCATGTAATTACCAAACAGGAAAAAGTTCAGGTCAGACAGCTATAGGAGAGTCATGATGAAAAATAATATGGCATCTACTCTTGTTCACCTCTGTGCTAAAATCATTAAATTTCTCAGTTACTCAGAATGAATTTCTGATAAAAATACTGTACAATCTTTCACAAAAAACACCCAATGGGATATATTCTTGCTAGCGTGATTTAAACTAAATATATATTTTAAGGCATTTGAAGGTGAAAGTTATTATGAGGCAATATTCCTATAACAAAGAAATTAAGGAACAATGAATCTAATTTGACACATCACAAAATTACATTGGAATGGAACCAAGAGAAAATAAGCAGACAGAGAGGGCGGCCCCAGCACCAGGACTCGTTCAGACAAGATGTCAGCATTTTGTTTGTTTTTATTTCACCTGCCCTGGTACCAAATCGGATGTTACTCAAAAAACCTAGTTCCCAAGAATGAGTGTACTCATGCTTAATTAAAATGCTTACTTTTCTAAGTATTTAATTGGATTTCACTATGTTTAATCGCCGTAAAATTCGTGTGTCTGTGCTTTCTGGAATCAAAGATGTGCATGTTTAGCGCTTCCGTCTGAGAAGGCAAAACTCACAAAAAGCAGTCAATGGTCCTCTTTGTTCCTTTATTCTCTTTTTGTGATCTGGACAAATGGAAATCGTCAAATAATAGATTTGACGATGGTAGATTATTTTTTAATTTTGAAGCGTAGAGGGATTTCTTCAGTGATTTTGAAAATGTCGGATCAATGTCAGAATCTGATCAACTGCAAACCTACCCCTCCCCTGACCCAACATTAGCCCTAACTTGTTATTGTTTGATTGTTGTTGAGTTAGGGGAGGGGTAGGTGTGCAGTTTCTCAGATACTGACATTGACTCAAAATGTCTTACTTCCCTACGGCGCTGACGATTTTCTTGTTGCAAACGTTCGTGTTCCTCCTTAAGAAAGAACGAAATTTAACGTCAGTTTAAGCTTTGTCCAGCAGATGACGAAATTCTATTGCGCGTAAAAGAAAATTTTCCCTCTCACCAAGAATGAATCATATCCTCGCCATTAC